AAACCCTTGGAATTTCCAGAGTGACACGAGTGTCTTTTGTTATTCATAACCAGCCTCTTTCCATCCTACCTGAGTCTATGCTAATGAGGTGGGCAGGGTGGGCCCTTAAGAGTTTCGAGGGAGGAGTTGAAGTTTCAAACCCCGTCACTTCTGGGGAGAGAAAAAGGGGTAGAGACTGAATTGATTCACCTGTGGCCAATGGTTTGATCAATCACCTCTACATAATAAAACTTCAGTAAAAACTCTTTACCAAGGAGGTTTGGAGAACTTCGGGGTTGGTGAACACATGGAGGTGCTGGGAGGGTGGCTCCTGGGGAAGGCATGGGAAGCCTGCGCCCTTCCCACATGACTTGCTCTGTGCATCACTTCCGTCTGGCTGTGCCTGTGCCACCCTTTCTCATAAACTGTAATTAAGGACTGCATAGTGTTTTCCTGAGTTCTGGATCATTCTAGTGAATTATCAAACCTGAGCAGAGGTCTTGGGAACCCCTGAATTTGTAGTCAGCTGGGCAGAAGCATGGGTAGCCTGGGGACCCCATTTGCGATTCTCTGGCTGGTGTCTGAAGTGGAGGCAGTCTTGTGGGATCAAGACCTTAACCTGTGGGACCTGCACTAACTCTGGGGAGTGTCAGAATTGGACTGAACTGTAGGACATCCAGTGGGTGTCAGGAAGTGAGAATTGTTGGAAACACAAAACAGTACTATAAATAGAGACTCTGATCTAAGTACTGTCACTATCTATCCCCCATCATCACTGTTAGTTGAACGAGATAAAAGTGCCTTTTCTGTAGGTCAAAAGAGTTCAGTCACAGCAATTTCATATGATTCAACCTAATGCAATCTATTGCACACCTCCAAGGTGTAGTAGGCACAGTCCTAAGTGCTTTACCTGTGTCCTCCCACATTCCTCACGATGCTCTTGTTATAGGTACTGCTGTTATTCCCAGTGTACCCATGAGGAGACTGAGACTTATGAGGGTTAAGACAAAGACCTGGGATCCATGGCTAGGGAGATGCAGAGCTAGACTTGCACGCAGTCTGTTTGACAACAGACCTTGAGTGTATTCGTTTGCTAGGGCTGCTGTACCAAAGCATCACAAACTGGGTGATACTTAAAATAACAGAAATCTATGCTCTCACAGTTCTAGAGGCTATGCGTCTGAAATCAAGGTGTCAGCAGGGTTGGTTCCTTTTTGGAGGCACTGAGGAAGGGTCTGCTGCATGCCTCTTTTCTAGCTGCTGGTCCTTGATACAATTCCTTGGCATTCCATGGCTTGCAGCTGCATCAGTCTGATCTCTGCCTATTGTTACATGGCATGTTCTCTCTGTCTGTGTCTGTGTCTCTTTGTATATGAACACACCAGTGATGGGATTTATGGCTTATTCTAATCCAAAATGACCTCATCTTTTTTCATTGTTGAGACAGGGCCTCCCTCTGTCGCCCATGCTGGAGTGCAGTGGCATGATCACGGCTCACTGCAACCTCAGACTCCTGGGCTTAAGCAATTCTTCGGACGACAGGTGTGCACCACCACACCCAGCTGATTTTCTCATTTGTTGTAGACATGGGGTCTCACTATGTCATCCAGGCTGGTCTCGAACTCCTGGACTCAAGTGATCCTCCCACCCTAGCCTCCCAAAGTGCTGGAATTACAGGCATGAGCCACTGAGCCTAGCCAAAATGATCTCATCTTGATTATATCTGCAAATACCCTATTTCCAAATAAGGACACGTTTGCAGGGACTAGGGGTTAGGATTTCAACATATCTTTTGAGGGGACATGATCCAATCCACAACACTGAGCTCTTAAGCAGGAACTCTGTGGTTGCCGGATACTGTGCTGTCAACATACGTAAGTATGCCTGTGTCCAGGCAGGACTCCCATCTGCTCATAAGCCTCCTGGACCACTCAGGCCCTCGATGAGCTGGGCTGGCCAGGAGATGGCCACCTGCTAGCAGAGGGCTAGGGTGGAGGAGCCAGGCTCGGGTTCCTCCCTAGGGGGAGGGGATGCCTGCTGAGTGGCATTCAGGTGGACCACCCATGAGGTATGGACAAGGAGAGGGGCATTCTTCATAGCTGCTATGCACACACATTTCTCCCTGCAGCATGGTTTCAATCACCTTGACAGGAAAACCTGAAACTTAGAATCTGGGCTGAAGATGCTTTGTTTTTCTTGCTAATCTATTCTCTTGCATTTTGCTAGTGGTAAGAAAGGTTTCAAGAGTCACAGCTCAAAAGCCTGTGAGGAGCTCCTGGAAGACATTGTATAAGTTCTCTACAGCAACGGAGCAAGTTAAATGAGAAATAATTACTCAATGAGCAGGATTCTCTGGCCTGTGTGGCTATGTGTTGTCAATGCGTTCCCCCGAATAATAGATGAGTTGTGAAATGTGTAAATTCTTTGGTATAGCTATTGTAATGTAGGAACTACAATCCCCAGAAAACGTCATAATAAACAGTAGCAAGACTGTGGTTCCACACTGCTCTGCCGTGACGTTTCCTGGGAAAGCTGGGAGTCACTGCATGTTCATCTTGATCCAGGACCTGCCTGAAAGGTTCTTGGCCCGCCGTGAGTTTAGTGCTTCAAGGACCAGATAGGAACCCGTCTTTTTCAGCACCCTGATAGAAGCTGGTCCTGTCTCATCTTTTTGGCACATAAAAATAGTTCATTTGCACTAACATGTATCCATCTGGTGATACTGGAAGTGCATTTTGTTTTTCCCCAGGGTTCTGATGAAACATTGCCTGCGCATTTAAGCGAGTCATGCTTCTGAGGCCAAGCAAAGAAAATCGCCAAAGAACAACAGTTTCCAGGGTTCACTTAGGAAGAAATTTTCCTTTGGTTCTTTTAACAATGGATTCAGTTACTAGAAACCTGAGTGCACGGTCGAAGCCTCCATGTGCTATCTGTTAACACTGCCCTTCACCTTTTGGACCTCTGCCCCAGGGCTGGCCACACAGACTCTTTTTCTTGGGCCAGACTGAGGTTTCTCAAGTGTGACTCAGCCTGGGGATTAGGTCCAAGCAGAGAAGATAATTGTTTCTAGTCTGGTTTCTCCTTGGGAGGAGGAAGTTCCCTTCTTAACTTTACTCCGTCACCTTTTACACCTTCTGCTGCTGCTCCCCCACACTCCCCAAGCTGGGTCCTTGGATCTCCACTCATTCTGTGCTTTCCCCCTCCCAGATTTGTTCACTTCACAGCCTCTATGTAGATGACTTCTGGATCCCAGTACCAACCTGTTTCCTGAGGACCAGAGTTAATATCCGCCTGTCTGCCAGCTATTGTCACCCAGCATCTCAAATGCAACATTTCTAAATCAGATTCACTGTTGGTGAATTCTGTTCTTCCCACTTAAAACCACTTGGCTCATCTCGAGTGATAAGCTATCTTCAGTCACCTGGCCTTGCAAGTTCAACCTCCTGTGGGAAGAGTTGCTCAGCCTGGGTTTCTCCCTCCATTCCCTGTCCCCCTCTCTTGTGGGCCCATTCCTACCACCTCCCCGTGGACTACTGCAATAGCTGCCCTCCTCACTGCTCCCTGCTTCTTGTGCCTTGAAATTCTTCACAGCAGCTTCATTGATCCTATTAATTCACAGCTCTGCTCCGGTTACTTTCCTGCTAAAGAAAACTTTCTAGGGCTTCTCTCTTCCCTATCAAATGAAGGGTCCATTCCTCAGCCTGGAATGAAGGCCATTCTCAAGATGGGATCTCCTTAGGGAATGCACGTCATTCTCTTCCCATGTTCTATGCTTCAGTCATAATGAGTATAATCTATTTTTTTTTATCTTTGGGCCTTTCCGGAGAATCTGTTCCCTGGAATCCCCAAACTCCCATTTCCAAATTCATCCACTGCATCACCAACCTTCCAGGCCACCTTTCTCTCTGTACTGAGATGAGATGTTATCATACTCTGAGGCTTCATTTGTGGCATGTGCACACAGATACATATGTGTATACTTGTGAGTTACCTGCAGGCTCCTTGAGTCCCTGGGATGGGCGCTTCGGCCTAGCAGATGCCTGGTGTGCAAATGCTGACTACGCGCGCCCAGGGCCCACATCTCACCACTTCGGAACCATTACATCCTTGCTTTCCCTACTCTTCTGATTCAGGCACAGGCAATACATTTGGCATAGAAAGAATGACCCTGTTCCCCCAACCCCTACTGATTTTATACTTTGTTGGAGGCAAAAGCAAATTTCCAAGATTCAGGTCAACGTCAATTTAGAATTGTTTCTGCCAGTTGGAAAACATTTTGAGAAAATTTGAAAGCTATAGCCTTCTAAGGAAACAGGATACCAAACACATACATGCACCACACCCACACCCACACCCACACACACACACACACAAACCCAGCCTGGCTTTACGTAGCTCAATCCTGTCAGGCTAATCTTTCGTGACAGAGCAGCAGACCTGGTAGATCAAGGGGGAAACAATAGTTGGAATTTATCTTTGCTGGCTTCAAAACTTTGGAGTCCTGGGTCCCACTCAATGTAATTATCATTAAATTGGTTGAAAGGTTAGAGAAAGGGAGAGTGCCAGTATGAGGTGGGGGTGGTGCTCCTTAGGGGATCAGCCTTGAGTCCAGTGGCCCTGAACGCCCACATGAATGGGCCAGATGACAAAAAAGAGAATATATTCAGAGTCAGCATTCATGTTAAGGGGTGGGGGTAGGTGTAGATAAATAACCAGCCAGAAAAGCAACCTTGGCAATTACATAAGTGATCAACACAAACAGGCAGACGTGTCTAGAAGAGATTTCATGTTTAGAAACAATCACACACACAATCAGCAATGTAGCATTAGTAAGACCATGATATTGGGATGAAGAAATGCAACTTGTAGGAATTCCATACTTCTAAACCTGCATTAACTGTATCCCTTTCCAAACTCCACAGCTAAAGATGGGAGGGAGAATTTGGACAACATTCAAGGAAGAGCCACAGAAGTGATTGAACTGGGCTGGGACATGAGAATGAAAGACTTCTACAAAAAAGTTAAATGAATTAGGTTTATTGAACTTGGAGATAGACACCCTTGTAAGGGCAATAATAAACAAAAATAGAAAAAGGTTTAAGTTACAACACACAAGAATAAAATTAGATGTAAAGAAGACTTTCCTCAGTTTTAAGGTGGGTAAGTGGGTTGTTAAATTACAACAGATTTCTCTAGGAGGGTCTGTTGTACTCCAGGCTCACTGGGAGGCAGACCTGGATAACCTCTGAGTATATCTGTCCCCACCTGGCACTGCTGAGACTACTTCAGAGTACTTATTTAGGTCCATGATTGAAAATTAAGAGGCAGCCAGTGCCTCCATTGTTATAAAGGCCACAAGATTTGGTTATCTTTTATAAAGAGAAATGGAAACATACAACAGAGCTCTTCCTCAAGTCCTGCACTGGGAACATTAGCACACAGCAGGACCTTTCCTATGTAGACACAGTGCAGATTTGATCTGTGGTGCAGCCAAACTAAAACACAGGTCATGGATTGTTTCCCCACTTTTGGTACGAACAAGCCCTTAATCAAGTATCTAATCTAGGGACGGTAACATTGGCTATTTGAGTGCAGGCACCCTAGGTTGTTAATGTCTGTTTCCCAACACTATTCCATTCCAACATTTTTCTTTACCTAAAGTGGGATAATGATCATTAAAAAAAAACACAATAATTTTCCTTACAACACTGCTGATAACTAATAATCACACAGTTGCATGTAAGTTAATTCTTTAAATTTAATCAGTCATTTATAAAACTCCCCAATTAGTAAAAGTTGGCTTATTTTAATAGCCTTAAACATTGGCTGCTATTTAAACAAGACATTCTAAAAAAAAAAAAAAAAAAAAAAGGCAATCACATAATAGTTTATAGTAATTTACAAGTGGATGGTATACATTTAGATACAGAGGTAGAAGTTCACTTTTACAATGTTTCACTAATACACATATACCAAATTCAAGGCACAAAATAGTTTGCTTTACAAAAAAATACTGTAAAAATGTCATTTGCTGTTCTACAACGTGAATAAAACTTTCAAAAGAATCTTTACACCTTTCCATACATATGCCATAGAATAAGATTTCTCCCTCTCACTCATTATAGTTGGCACAAAAATGGGGACTTTTCAATGTAGAAGTTCCCATTTTTAAAAACTGTTTCTTTGCAGAGCTGCTATGTATTCTAGGTAAGAGTCCATCCAAAGAAATGAAACACAGCAACTTCCTGAGGGAAGGGCACTTTCTGTATGCAGCAAAATTCATAGGTAGAAAATGGATGATCTTTTAGGATAATTAGGTCTCCAGACACTTAATGAAGTATTTCAGAGATAAAATTAAAAATTCAAGGCTGGGCGCAGTGGCTCATGCCTGTAATCCCAGCACTTTGGGAGGCTGAGGCGGGCGGATCACCTGAGGTCAGGAGTTCGAGACCAGCCTGGCCAACATGGTGAAACCCCATCTCTACTAAAAATATAAAAATTAGCTGGGCATGGTGGCGCGTGCTTGTAGTCCCAGCTACTCAGGAGGCTGAGGCAGGAGAATCACTTGAACCTGTGAGGCAGAGACTGCAGTGAGCTGAGATTGTGCTACTGCACTCCAGCCTGGTACAGAGCGAGACTCTGTCTCAAAAAAAAAAAAAAAAAAATTCAGCTAATACTTTAGTCATTGTGACTTTAAGAAAGAGACTTGGTCACCTTTACTGTAATACTCAGATATCATTTACTTCAGTTGATGCAGATTTCAAAATTCCTTTTCAAAAGAGCTAAACATACAAACACCATGAAAAAGCCACCTAGGCCTTGCAAAACGGAAACTTAGAAAACATGAGAAAATATAGCACTATCAGTCCTTGAAATTGCAAAGATGTCAACTGGCTGGAGTTTAATAACAAGAATGAGTAAACTCTATGGGAATTCTGAAAAATCACACACATGAAATATACAGTCTAGTTATCATTTCTAGACTTCCTGCTCATTAAAAAAATAATGGTAACCTGAAGATGTCACACAGTGCTTCTCTAAAGATTTGACTGGTTTTTGGGTTCTGCCTAAAAGGACCCTGTTGGCAACAACCTAAGTTCACTTTTACTGATCACATTTTCCAAGTACTCTAGTCGGTTAATTTACACTTTATTTTTTTAAAAAGTTGATTAAAAAAAGAAACAACACAAGTTTAGAATCCATAAAATGTCAGCAATGCTGATGTGCATTGGACTGAAACATCTGGATCATCTTCTGATAGAAGTAATATTCCATACAAAAAGATTCTTAGATTCCATTTTTTGCTTCATTATTGTTTGTGGCTTGCTTTCTTTGAGCAATAAAGGGGTACATACACTTGTCTGCTCCTAGGAACCGATACATGCACACAACTGCTTCAAATGGGAGGATGCTGAAAAAGGAAAGTCACAGCTGTTAGCAAACTTGAAGTTTCAACTAAGACATCGGGCAAGCATGGAGAGACCTGGTCAGTGAGGGAACCCTCCCAGTTACCTCTTCATGAAGGTCACGATGTACATGAGGCGAGGGGTGCAGATCATGGGCTGGTCAGTGAGGATGGCCTTCATGGCCTGCTTCACACAGTAATCAGGCTTCAGAGGTGGCAGAAAAGGCTCAATTTCTTTCCTGAAAGTTATTTATTCAAAAACAAAATGAAGTATTAACACAATAGAAAAGACTGGAAATACATATCAAAACATTAACAGTGACGTTATCTGAGTGATGGGATTTTGGGTACATTTTGTTTTCTTCATAGTGCTTTTCTGTATTTTCCAAATTTTCCTACTATGAACACATTTTACTGGCACAGTCTAGAAAACAAGTTGGGGGAAAAAAAGTAAAATTGGTCTGCTTTTCCATAAGATGAAAAAGTCATGTTTTTAAGATGCCTTAAAATGTATTTCAAATTATTTTCCTATGTTTTGCTTTCAATAGAAAGAGGAGAGGGTGTTTGGCATAGCAAACACTAATCCCAACCAAGATGCCAAGCTTTTAGTATTAGGTGTAGTCAAAATGAGGGGGTAAGCTTTCAAAGTGAAAGGAGGGCCAGGTATCTACTTTCCAGGATGCTGGAAGAGGGAAAGCTAAGGTATATTCTCTAGGGGCCCCTGAAATGAAGGGCATATAGACATCCTACCTTCAGTTTAATTCACTAGGTTAAATGTTGAAATGACAGTGTGCAATTTATTCCTTTCATTCTTCATTTTGCCACCATAGCTTTGGACCCCTGCACCTGCTGCTATGCTACACTGGAGGAAACAGAGCTCTGCAAGACCCTCAGCAACTGCCTCCCAAGTACATAAAAGGAAAACAAAACAAAACAAAACAAACCACCAACACACACACACATGTTCACACAAACACACACGTGTGTGGGATAAGAGGCAGAGCTGGAGTCCATTTTCCAGTTCAGACTTGGAGTCACCCTGACTTTGGAGTGATTCAAATCACCTTCCACCTATTTTGCTGCTTGTTCAGTTCAGTACACGTTAAGAATGGCCCCCAACCAACAGGGAACTGGTTTGGTTATCTTCCCTTTGCCTTTCAAATTCACCCAAGCAAAGATTTCAAAGTAAGCATGTCTTCACAAGCATCCTCTTAATGATTCACGGTTTTGTTTATTCTGCTGAGCTCAAGTCAGATGTAACTTGACATTTATATTCCCACATGCCTCCTTTCTATGTGTGTGGGTATTTTACTTCATTTTTCAGTACATCTAAATGGTTCTTCTCATTCTGCCAGAGTGAATCTAGTTACATACGCTTGCTGCAAAAAGGACGTTTCCAAATCTGGAGTGTAATATTCAATGGTCTTTTCAGAAGAAAGGCACGTTAATCTCTGTGACAGTGACATTGTTTCACATCCAGACCCAAGTCACATGAAGGAATTTTCTTCTGGAATCCCTATTTACCAATACCAATATTAAAGAAACAAGTAACTCCAAAAGGTGAGCTTCTAAGGAAAAGACTGGATATCTATGTTTTCTCTTTACAGAGAAGCCATTTCCTATCTGATGATTCTGGATTAATTTCTGCAAATTAGTATCAGTGTGGCACCAGTCTGTCCCTTGCCATCTTATACACCAATTTTACAAACTTAATCTTGACCAACGAAAGCCACAGATTGTCAAATGATAGTTAAAATACAAGGCTATGTTTGGAAGTCCAATTCCACATATTCTCCCAATATTATTCTTTTTATCAGTAATAATATAGGTTCTCACTGACCTGATTCGGCAGCCTCTGAACATGCCAGTGTCTACAAGATAAGGGCAAACCAAAGTTGTTTTAATTCCATCCTTTTCAGCAGCCTTTAGTTCATGGCTCAGGGATTCATGAAAACCCACAACTCCAAATTTACTGGCACAGTAATCCTGAGTTAAAGAGGGGAGAAAGCAGAAATACTAAGCATATGCCCCTATCCCCAACCCAACTGAAGCCTCCCTGGTCCTATTACTATGGTTGGATGTCTAATACATAGGGTTACAGGTGACTACATGAAGAAAAGGAAATCATTTTAAAAAACAGATACCTGGCTGGGCGCGGTGGCTCACGTCTGTAATCCCAGCACTTTGGGAGGCCAAGGTGGCTGGATCACTTGAGGTCAGGAGTTTGAGACCAGCCTGGCCAAAATGGTGAAACCCTGCCTCTACTAAAAATACAAAAATTAGCTGGGCATGCTGAGCATGTGCCTGTAGTCCCAGCTACTCAGGAGGCTGAGGCAGGAGAATTGCTTGAACCTGGGAAGTGGAGGTTGC